TTTTTTTTTTTTTTTTTTTTTTTTTTTTTGGTTTTTTTGAGACAGGGTCTCACTCACTATGTACAGCCCAGGCTGGTCTTGAACTCACAACGATCCTCCTGCCTCAGCCTCCTGAGTGCTGAGATCACAGGCGTGCGTCACCATGCCTAGCCAGTGATTTCTACTATAGCATGGCACCAATACCTTAATTTATGCCAAGACCCCAGCATTTCTTGCACTACTGATTTTACCCTTCAGCATAAATACAGCAAGAGTAAAAAGGCAACTGATATATTAATATTAATATGAAAAGGTTTTGGTCCTATAGACTCTCTGAAAAAAGTTTGAGAAACTCCTTGAAGTCCCCTGGATTAAATAACCAGTGCACACATGTATAATGTACCACTACAAAATTACTAAAAAGAATCTGGTCATTTATTCAAAAACATTTGTCCATAATATACCGAGTACTATGTAAGGAAGGTCTTTATATTTGCTCACCATTCAAGAAAGACTCAAGTGAAAAGAACAAGCTTCAGAATATGTGAATAATTTAGCCTTTTAAAAAAATAACATGGAACCAGATGTGGTGGTGCATGCCTGAAACCCTAGCACTGGGGAGGCTGAGATTGCCACAAGTTTAAGGCTGGTGTGGGCTACACAGTGAACTTAAGGCCACCTTGTACTACATGGTGACCACCCCCCCCGAAGAAAATTTTAAAAAAATATTTATATATCAAGGGGAGAAAAAAAATATATGCCTCAAAAATGTCAACAGTCAAGACAATTTAATCCAACATGTAATCCTGAATGGGAAACCAGACAAAAAAGGGGAAAAATGCAGTTGAATAGTGTCAGTGAATGTAAAGATAGTACACTATCAATGTTTATCTCCTCGCATCAGTGTATGCAATATGGTTTTGTAGGAGAGTGCTCTTGCTAATGGACTGAGTATAGCTATTGAGAGAAAAGCAAAGAGTTAAAAAAAAGTTGTGGAATGCAACTCAGTGGAAGAGTGCTTACCTGGCACATGTGAAACCCTGGGTTTAATCCTCAGTAAGACCAAAAAAAAAAGTAATCATCTGTGAGTTAACAACCTGTGCAGGATAGTGGTAACGTTGGAGGGGACAGAGAGGGTCATAAGGGGTATGTGGGGAGCTGATAATATCTTATTTCTTGACTGGATACAGGATGGACAGATGTGTTCAGTGTGTAAAATTTATCACATATTGTACTTATGGCATACACTTAATGCATATTTTCCTTCAATGAGCATTTTAAATATTCTAAATTTTTGGCTTGAGTAAGTATGTGGAAAAGGATGATTTTCCCATAAGAAAGAAAAAAGAAGGTTGGGCTGGACATTGTGGTGCACCCCTATAATCCGAGCACTCAGGGTGAGGAATGAGAATCGCAGCAAGTTCAAAGTAGCAAGACCTTATCTCAAACAAACAAACAAACAAACAAACAAAAAGCAGGTTGGGAGGGGAGAGGATAGAATAAAAATTGCTTGGGATATGATCAAGTAAAGGGAAAAAGATAATAGATGATGGAGAAAGGGAAAGGAGGGATAACTGCAGAGAAACAACTTTAAAAAAGTAAGCAAGGAAAAAGTCCTAAGCACTAAGTATATTTTGTAAAAAGTAATAATTGGACATTTCATGTTTTATTTAGTTGCTTCTGATATACTTCTGTATATCATTTCCTATTTCTTCAAACTTTTAATATTCTTATGTTAATTCCTTAAATGACACATCAGTCATAAATGAATTTCTAGTAATTCAAATTTCAAATTCAGTACTTCATATCTCATGAAACTGTTTCAAGTACTTCTAAATTCTTTTAATTTGGTATTTCTAAGCTATTATATAACCCAAGACAGTATTTTACTCTATTGTGCTTGTTCTGAATCCTTGGTCTGTGATTCTCTATTTATAATGAATACATATCGGATTTTAGTTACTAATACCATGCTTTTTTTTGTACTATGGGTTAAACCCAGAGCCTCTCGCATGATTGGCAATTACTCCACTGCTGAACTATATCCTCAGCCCTTTTTATTTTTTCCAATTTTAGTACGTGTACTGCTGAAGTAAGCACAGTGTTTTGAGACAGGGACTTGATAAACTGCTAAGGTGCCCAGCCTGGCCTCCAACTCACAATCTTCCTGCTCCAATCTCCTGAGGGCTAGGATTACAGGTGTATGTTACCACATCCAATCCATTTGTTTCTCTTAACTACACTTATATAAGACAAAGATAACACTTTAGCTTTTAACAAACTAAACATTTGTTTAAATGGATGCCATGAAGACAAAATGAAAAGCAGTCATCTAAAATACTGTCCAACCTTAGCAGTTATTAACTATCCCATCCATTATTAATTGCTATGAACAAGGAAGGGACAAGGAAAAACAGTGAAAATAGAAGGAAAAATGGAAACAAAACTTTTGTACACAGGGAGGCGAGGAGGCTGGAAGGGAGGGGGGCAAGTGGGAAAAGAGGTGGGATATATCATGTACAGGTACAAATTCCCTATGGTGAATGTTATTATCACTATGCATGCCTAAAATGTACCAATAAATGTTTTGCTATTTAAAAAAATTGCTATGAACTTTAGAGTCAATAATACCAATTCTGGAAAAATGGTAGAAGTGATAAGTTGATATTAAGCAATACCATTTCTTATCATCTTGGTCATTTAGCCAATTTCTTGCTCCCATCAAGGAGATAAGGGAGGAGGTGAGGATGCAGAAACAGGTTAGTATATTTAGTAATGGTAACCTAAAAGTAACCTAAAGCAATCCCTGTCTGACTGCTTTTGCTTTCTAAACTGTTAAATTTGTGACAAGGTCATGTGCTAATGGACAAAGCTGGGAGTGAGTTGTAGGATGTTTGAGTGAGAGGACATAAAAGTGTGTTATTGGAGAAAGAGAAATCCTGTAAATGTTGAGTGCCCTTTTGAAATGTGAGGTCTTAAAAGTGAAGGGGAACCTACCCACAGGGTTGTGTTTAACTCAAGTGACATAACACTGCCTGAATACAGGCACAGGTTGAGCAAATGGTTTAACTAAGGTCAAGGCTGTGCAATTTAAGAAGAATAAACAGAAGGGTAAGAGTTGAAGGTGTTTACAAAACAATAAATCAAGAACTAATGGCCCTAAGCTACAGGGATGATGAGTAAAGACGAGGTTCATGAACTCAAAGTCCCAGTGGGACAGAAGCACAGCTGGCATGAAGTATAGAGAAAGCCAGCTCTAAGTTCCGAGTGGGAGTCTTATAGTGAAGATTGAGATGGAGACAGCACAATTTGGGACTAGATGGCTGAGGTACAGTGAAGAAAAAGTTCATGAGAAAATACAGTGTCAAGGAAATGAAAGGACCAAGGAAGTGGACAGAGCATACATATCGATGCTAAAATGTGCAAGAAAATGGTCCTGAGTACGAGTGGACAGGAAGGTTGTGAACCAGGGACTAAAGCCACCAGTGAATGACAGATAATGACCGAGAGATTAATAAATGTGAGAAACAAAGAGGGTATCATCAGATCTGATGGCATGAAAAGCAAAGGGAAGAAAATGGCTTGAAAGCTGCAATACAGAACAAGGACAGCTACCAACTACACTTAAGAGTACAAGAAACATGAAAAAAAAAAAAAGAGGTCTAATTGAGAGGGCAAAGAAACATGGTTAGGGAGCAGCTAGAGTTTGATTAAGAAAAAGGTGGGAAAGGGAACTTTTTGGAGATTGAGAATACAGCGTACATGTATCCCTTCTGAGTATGGTTTCATAGAGTACAGTGAAAGAGCTCTGGAATAAGAATCTCCTGTGAGGAGGTTCTAAAGTTTTTGCCTTAAATGCTTGCTACTGTTATTCTGAAAAACAGTAAGGCAACTTTGGTTTTATTTTTGAACACCAATTTTTAAATAACATACCACCAAAACAGTTCTAAGATAAAGTTTGCATACAGGAGCTTACCTCTATTTCTGTAATTTTTTCAGAAGGATTATCAATTAGGAAACGTGCTAAAGTCCCAGGAGTAGTTCTGTAAGTTAGAATGATTGAGTTTTTAGGGTCTTGACACCACTGAATAAAGAGATCTCTTGAGAATCCACATTCCAGATCAGGCTGGCTGGCAAGGACAACTTTGGGGCTGGGTACTCGAGCCAAATCTGACAGACCATGGCACAAAGAAAGATGGCGAAACTGAAAAGGGTTATTCCTTTTGTCTTCAAAACATCTCATCAGTTTATCACTCATCCATTCTACCTAATATAGGGGGAAAAGATGATAGTGATTAGGAAATATTGTAACTTCCATGTATTCTACAACACAAGAAATTCAAGTTCTATCTCAAGTCTTTTTTTTTTGGTACCGGGGATTGAACTTGGGTCCTTGTGCTTGCAAGGCAGGCCACCGAACCACTGAGCTAAATCCCCGGCACAAGTCTTTTTTTCCTACTAGTTGTTAGTTCTGATAAGCAGCAATCTTCTGATTCTCTTTCCCATTAAGTCATCCCACTCTAATTCTCATTCTAAAAATTAAACTTTTTCAGTGATTCGATTATAAGTCATCTTAAATATTTTTGAGAATTCAGTGTGCATGTTCTAAGTAACTATCTTACCCTAGAGATTGCTGTTTCAAAAGAAAGAGTTTATACAAAAGAAAGAATAATGAATTCTAACATTTATATCCTATCAGGTAGGTTCTGGTTTTATAGACTAGGATACCAAAAGTTAGAAGAAAAGCAACTTGCTCAATTTGTAAAATGGAGACAAAAATAGAAACTATCTCTTATATAATAAGTTAAATGAAATAATTATGAAAGCATACAGAATAGTAAATAGTTAATGTTAGCTGCTATTATCAACCTCTTGAGAAAAATAATATCCAAAATGCAATGAAGATACTAATTTCAAAAGCCCAACACAGACAAACTTCAATATTATAAATGATGACATGAACACAAACCTGGGACTTAGAAAACTCCACCACATTATAACTGACATTATTTAGGAGTGCCAGTGAGTAAACACCCAATCCTGCATCTTTAGTTCTCCAAATCTGATCAAGAAGCTGAGCAAGTTCCAAAACTCTGCCTGCAGTATCCACTGCTATTAATACATTTCCGTCACCTCGAAGGGTTTCCAGGACATTTGCTAAAAAACAAGAATATTAAATTCCTATAGAACAAAACAATACTGTGCTACAAAATTAAAGATAACGTTATCTTTCTGCTTTTACAATAAAGACTACAATTTATAAGTAAGTAATCACTAGGCCTGGTACAAAATGAAAATTTTTGTTTAGGATAGCACAATTTCTAGTTTTCTTAGACTTTCATTAGAGGTAAAAACTAATGCTATTAACTCCCAATTGTTTTCATTTAAATATTATAAATCAGTAGTTTCCAACTCTTTCACATCAATTTTATGGAGAAAATGGTATTTGAGCTAGACGTGGTGGAATATGCCCATAACCTCAGTACTTGGGAGGCTGAGGCAAGAGGATCTCTGTAAATTCAAGGCCAGCCTGGGCTACATAGTGAGACCTTGTCTCAAAAAAAAAAAATCACGGGGAAAACTGACCAGGCCTAATACAACCAGCATGGGGCTTCCACGCCACCCTGTATTCACCTGTTCACCCCAATAAAGTTTAGTATGATTAATCCTAATATTTACATGTGAATAAAAACACAAATATAAATGCATTATATATACATATATACACATTATATAGAGAAGACATATTTTCTATGTTCACCCACAGAATAAAATGTAGAACACATTTTCTTCCAACAAAAGCATCTTCATAGATTTCTTTGCTCTACATGAAAGTAAACTTGGAAATAGCTGATAAAAAGCAAACTAGCAGAAACAAACAAAAAACCATGAAACTAAAGTACTGCATGCTAGCAATTAGTTATACAAGTTATATTTTTAAAGTATAAAGTGGTTGCTAACATGTTTAGAAGTGGAATCCAACTTTTACTGCTGAAATCTCATATAGTTTATAAAACAGAACTGAAGTAAAGCAGCTTAAGTCACAACAGAAATCAACAGCAATGTTTTAGAGACATCTCTTTAAAACCAAGAGGAGGGCCAGGGATTTAGCTCAGTGGCACCATGCCTGCCTTTCAGAGGCCTCGATGTTTAACCCAAAAAAAAAAAAAAAAAAAAAAAAAAAAAAAAAACCAAGAAGACTAGAGCATAAAATACCCAACACCAAAACAAGCCAGTCTCTCTCTGTACCCACATTTATGTTTTTTTCAGTTTTCTTTTAGAGTGTGTTTTCTAATTGACACACATGAAGTCTTAATGTGCAGACATACCAGTGAGTGCCTGAGAGAGCCAGCTATGTGCTGAACGGCAGGGAGAAGCCAATCTTTACATCTTCTTATTCAAAATATTGACATAGTCACATATTTCTTCAAAATTACTGGAGGTAGCTAACCTCTTATGACCAAGTTCAACAGAATAAAAAGAATCTCACGCTACCCTGAACTTCCACGGCTCTTTAAGGACACAAGATGATACATACTCAGAAGCTGCTCGTCTCTCTGTTTTCTTCTAGGCTGCACATAAGTAGCATTAAATGAGTCTGTGATGAGCAGAGAGGGTCTGCTTAGCATCTCCAGGGAACATCCATTTAAGTGGCTGTTAGGGTTAAGAAGATTTCATATCACTTCAAATAAACAGGAATACATTCTCTTAATTAAAAAATGAGCAACTGCTTTTACAAGGCTGTTCCCCCTGCTAAATATAAAAATATATATGTTCATTGTGGAGGGGAGGGGAATGGGAAAAAAAGCAAGATGTATCAAGTACAGGTACAAATTCCCTATGATGAATATTATCGTTATGTATATCTAAAAATGTACCAATAAAAATTTTGAAAACCAAAAGAAGTCAGGTAAATTTTAAGAAATATGTATAAAGAGGAAAATAAAACCCTTCCAAAGGACCACCAGTCTGAGATAACTGATATATTTTGAGTATACCCTTCAAAGTATAAAAGTTTAAGCCAGGTGTAGTGGGATATGACTATAATCCCAGCACTTAGGAGGCTGAGGCAGGACGACTGCTATGAGTTTGAGGCCAGATGGGGGCTGCATAGTGAGTTCAAGGCCAATCTAAATTACATAGCAGCATCCTGTCTCAAAAAACTAAAACCAACCCAAAACAACAAAAAACAAAGTATAAAATTTTTTAATAATAATGTGTGTGTGTGTGTGTGTGTGTGTGTGTGTGTGTGTATATATATATATATACATATATATAATTTTTATAATAATGTGTGTGTATACACACACACACACACACACAAATACTCTTTTAAAATTTAAAACAGTGTATATTCCACTGGGTACGGTGGTACACACCTGTAATCTGAGCTACTCAGGAGGCTGTGGCAGGAGTTTAGCAACTTTGGGGATATAACTCAGTGTTAAAGAGTGCTTACCTAGACACAAGGCCCTAGTTCAATCTCCACTACCTCAAAAAGAAAAACTAGTGGATATCCCATGTATAGTCCTATATTCTCAATTCTGTGTCCTAGTTTTTTCCCATCACATTAAAAATTTTTTCTAAGCCAGTTTTCAGCAACTGTAAAATCTTTCTATTCAAACTTTTCCTTTCATTTATATTTGTCACTTTTTTGTCATTACAATCTTTCAAAGAATATTTTTTAAAAAGCTTTAATTGCATTTCTGAACATTTCTTTGGGACATATCCCAAGAACTGTGTTTACTAAACTATACAAGTGTTGCTAAATAGCTTTCCACAAACGTTTAACCTTTTCCAGAAAGGTTTAACCAGACAGACTTAGCAAATCACAAAATACTTCCAAAAGGCTACCACCATTTAAAAATAATTTTAATGTAACTAATAAACATTATTATTTACATTTCTTTTTTTGACTTTACCTTTTATCTACTTTGAAACTATGTATTTTTGATTAATTAATGATTGGTCTTATATAGATTGCATAAGTTTTTTAGCCAACTTGTAGATATTTTCCCTAGTTTATTGGTTTTGTAATTTAGCTTATTGTTTCAAACAGTTTCAGCCTGTTTGTAATCAAATCTATCAGACTTATCCTTCCATTATCTTTATGCTTACAAATTCTTCCAAATTAGAAATCACCAATATTGTTTTCTTTCCTAGTTAATTCTAATCCATCTCAAATTTATTTTGTTATATTGTAAAAGTACAAAAATTTTTCCCCAAATGGTTAAAATTCACTACTTTCTCAAATACTCATCTTTCCTCATTAATCTGTATTTCTAAATTCAATCTATTAGTCTTAAATATTTCTTAATGTAAAGCTCTTGAAGCTACTGCAATCTCCTACAAACAAGCTTTCAACTTAATGTATAGGTGTAACAAAAGCCTGTCTCAAGCCTGAACAACAAAAATTTATAGTAATTCTATGAATGCAAAATGAAATACGTAAAATTGTAACTACTATGTTCCCTTTTAAAGGGAATGTGATATTAAATATAGTTATATTAGATAGAAATTACTGATTTTACAAAGCCAAAAAAAAAAAGTTCTGTTAAGTAGTAGGTTGAGAGCATATAAAATAGTTTTATGTATAAAAATTTACTTGCTCTGTAACACCTCCAGGGAGACAGCTGTTTTATAGTGAAGAATCATATGTAAATTTTAAAAACTTCATTTATGTACTACACTAAACTTCTTCCCTTACAATGCCAGTAACAATAGAAAGAAACATTCACTATTTGATGCTGTTAAACTACTCTATATTTTGGTTAAAGCAAACAAAACCAGAATGCTTCTAATTTTCCCTTTACAGAATTAAAGTAACACTTTGCATTTCCTTTAGCTCTTGTCTTCATATACCTACATCTCCCTCTTGTGGTTGAAGTCAACTGCATAAACAATTTCTTCTTCTCCATCTTTGACGATTTTCCATATTGTCCCGCCTATCATATGGCCAGCTGGCAGAGGTGTGATAGACAAGCCATGTCCTTTACCTAGGCCAACAAGATAGTGATGACATTCAAGCTTCTTTCACAATCCTTTAAGGTTATATTTTGATGCTATGTTAAGAGGCAATATATGCAATGATATAAAATTTAGAAGTAAAAATGCAAACAGTAAAAAGCAAGTCTCATACTATCCTCAGCTACTAAACCCTTTCAGTGGAGGTAAATATTCTTACAACTTTTTTATGTATTCTTGAAGAGATAATTGTGTTCCTAGATGGCTAGAGATTGAACATTATAGCTAGTATAGTATTAAATAACTTTAAGTACTAATTAATAAATTTAGTGTTTGTGTGTGATGCTGGCCACTGAATCCAGTTTCACATATGCAAAACTGTATGCACTCTGCCACTGAGTCACACCAGCCCTAAGTTTTAACATTTATATTATATTAGCAAGTGCTGCCCATTTTGCTAACATCTAAACTGACAGAATAACATTCCAAATCTCGCTAGGGTAAAAAAATGTATTCCTACAGAAAAACTAAATATAAGCAAAACTTCTAAGACTACTGCTACTTCCTGGTTAAATCCTCGAGTCCATTAAAAAAAAATAGAGCCCATTATTGTACAATATTTTCAATGCTACAGTTCATTTCTTTTTTTGGTACTGGGGATTAAACTCAGAACCTCGCACTTGTGAGGCAGGTGTGGTGCCACTGAGCTAAATCCCTGGCACCGCCACAGTTTATTTTTAAGAAAATCTGTAATGTATTTCTGCTGTATATGACACATTTAATATATGATATCCTGACCTAATAAACTTTTAGTAATTTTCTATTCTGCTACCACATCACTTCATTTCCTTCAATTACTACATTTAAACATCTGAGCTACTTTGTCTCTCGATCTATAAAGTCCACACCCTTTACCTTCCTTCTATATAATATTACAATAAATCTTCTCAAGCTAAATAGGAAAAATGCTAACAGCCCAAGCATCAGAAATTTGTTAGAATTTAATCTACAATATTTTAAAAATTCAAATGGATGTTCAAAGTCAGGTTCAGAGTTCAGTTCACATCAAGGCAGAAAGGGCTAATTTTTTGTTCTCAGACCACAGTGCCTATAAGGTTTACTGTGCTTCTCCTGAGTACTTTTCAGAAAGTTAAATTCCACTTGTTCAGGCTGAGAACGTGGCTCAGTGGCACAGTGCCTGCTGAGTAGGTCCAAGACCCTGAGTTCAATCCTTAGCACAACAAAGTGAAACAAAACTCATTACTATAGAAACGTTTACTACAATTATTTACCACAGAAACACTTTTTACCTTTCAAATTCACAATCTGAGAGAATTTTAGCTGCTGTATTTTATCAAAGGCTGCATCCACATCATCTAACGTAAAGAGTGTAAAATCTTCTGTATTGTGTCGAGACTAAAAGAATGACACAAACGAAAGGTTAAAAATGATCACTGATAGAGTACACTATTTTTCCTTAATTGTTTATATTACCTGATAAAGGTCATACATGAACATCTGTCCCATCTTATAAACAGGAATGGTTGCATAGATAGCGCAGTTCAGACCCAACTTTCCCACAGCGTAAGGGAGGGCGCCAAGGTGGAGAGGGTCAGGGTGAGACAGCAGCACTGCATCAATCTGGTGAACGTGCCTAGGGAACACAAGCAAACCGGTGACATGCCCCATTCTTATTTTTAAGGGTAAAAGCACATCAGTCAAAATTACCCATTCTGGATTGAAGACTATACTGGGGTAGAAGAGCAAAACAAATAACTAAGATTATACACCCATGAATTTCAATTAGTACTACCCTATTCTACATAGACAACAAAATTATGGTATAAGTTGCATCTAAACATATGACGTTATGGTGTCTAGACACATTTACAAAGAAAAAAGTAGACACCACAAATAAATTGATGGCTGGCCACCTTATACAGTATTAAGTTCAAACACTAAGCTTGGAATATTAGAAATTGTTAAGCAGAAAATAATTAAATAGGCACATATTTACTATGGATTTTTTACCAAAATCACAATCATTGTAATAAAACATCAATTAATCAGTGAAGTGTATGTTACCATGGACAATAGAGATTTTTTTCTTTTTTAGCTTCAAATTCTAAATATTTGAAAAGATTTAAGTCTTCTTTCCTTCATTAATTAGTACAATGCCACACATATATATAACTGGATCTTTTCTTTGGAGACAGGGTCCCATTGTGTAATTCAGCCTGGCCTCAAACTCGTAGTGATCCTCCCACCTCAGCCTCCCAAGTGTTGGGAGTACAGACATGCGCAACCATAACCTGGCTCAAAACTCAAATCTTTTCTGATAGATTAGAACCCTTTTGTACCTCATGGTTATTCTAAGAACTAAGTCCCAATATCAAGCACCAAAAAATACAAAGTAAGCTAATTTAATATAACCACAGAACTGTCACACAGGTGTTTGTTTCCTCTTAATCTTTACAAACTCGTGCTCTTTCCCAAAACTAGAGAGCAAAATTTACAGTGATCCATTAGCCATGTGACAATTTAAGATTTTGCTGAATTCAAATAAACAAAGCCAATAAGTCAACCGAAACTTTATAAGCTAAAATGGCCACAATTCAGTTTTGGGCATAAATAAAATTCTTACTATAGACTTAGTGCAAAGATAGCAATACTAGATAACATCAAAATTATTATAAAAGTATATGAAAGGCAAGTTTATTTTTTTTGAAAAGTTAATTTAATAAAGTCTAGAAATGTGAAATGCAACTTACTTCCTCAGGGAATCTATAATATCCATAGAAAAGTGCTCATCCCAGCCACAGTCCAGTAAGAATCTAAACTCATCAACCTGGAGAAGATAGCAAAGAGCAGACTCTTCTTGGACCCCGGACAGGGTAGTTAATTTAATAATAGAGGTCATCTTTTTGGTCCAGTAACAGGAATGTAAAAGGTTCTTTCAAAAGAAAAACATAATTAGGCGGAAAGCACAATCTTATGCATACAACAGACAAATTAACTAAAATTATTTCACATTTTTAAGTGCACAGAAATTCCACAAATGTGAAAAGCAAACATATTACAGACTCACTGCCATCAGTGTCAAATTTAAAAGTACAAACAGAGCCCTATACTCTCTTATTTACAGCTCTTCAGGATCTCCCCAGAGTGCACTAATGCAAAACAGTGGACTTTGGAGTCAGAGAGATACAGATTTGAATCTATTCCTGTGTGCTTTGGAGCAAGCAAGTCAATTAACCTTTCCTCACATAAGTATACCATTACATAAAACATCACTATTGATATATTTGTAAAAGGATGTTAAAGAATTTTAAATGTCATGTAAGTTTACTAAAATTAGAGACTACTCCATCCAAGTTCAATACACATATGTTTTCTCAGTGAATGAACTCATTCTTCATGACGAACCTGTTCCTCCTTTATCTTGCTCCATGATGGTATTTATTACACTGCATTACAATGATGGGTTTACAAGTCCTTCTCTCTTTTTAGAACTTAAATAGACCACATTCAGAATCTGATAAAAGTTATGGGTTTTCTTTTCTCCCTCACCATTGAATAAAATCATAAAAATTCATGTACTTTTCAAGGAGTTAAATGTTAAGAACCTTGCACAAGGATACAAGCTACTGAAAAACAAAGTGGTATCTTACGTTTGCAATCCCTGAAACAAAACCCTGACACAGCAGGTCCCCAACATTATTTGATGGAATGTATGCTGGGATACCTGCTACATATATGTACTTCCAAAAGATATAACATCAACACATCTATTGGGGTTTAGGATCTAAGACTGTGTGCCTGTAAGCAGCCGTGACAAAACTGTTGATTAACAAAGTTCTACAACATTTTCAATTTTAGCTCTTTAAAATAAAATTGGGCTGGGTGTGGTGGTGCACGCCTATAATCCCAGCACTCAGGAGGCTGAGACAGGAGGATCTCTGTAAATCCGAGGCCAGCCTGTGCTGCACAGTGAGTTCAAGGCCAGCCTGACCTACATACAGAGACCCTGTCTCAAAAAAAAAAAAAAAAAAAAAAAAAGGAAAAGCAAAGATAAAACTCGGCCTTTTCTGGCTAAGTATTTGAGTAGGACAGAAGATCACTGAATTACCTGATGATCTCTCACTTATACCCAAGCTCCTCTACTGACTACCCAACCTTTCCTAAATGCTGACCCAAGGCTAAGCATCTACTACTCTTGTTTACCTGAGTAACAGCCCCAAATGAGAGCTCCTCGCTTATCCATTATTACTGATGTGTATTTCTCACAGTTGGACCCAACCCCTGCCTTTCCACCTTCCAAATCTTTTCAGTCTGCACTCTAGAAGTAGGCTTCTTCTCACCTGTAATTCACCTGCCTGTCTCCATAGACATCTGGCAGTTCCCCAACAATGGTGTTCCTCCTGCACTCTTCTCAAGAGCTTTGAAAATTATTTTTAAATCTCTTATACTCCATGGACCTCAAAAGTTCCTCAGTGCAATTACTGAGCCACACCTTCTCTTTTGCCCTTTAAATATTCCAGTTCTAATAAAGCTTATGCCACCGAGCTAGTTAAATAGCCTTCTTAATTTCCTCCTCATGCTGCCATCTAGGAATCTGATCTGATCCATGAAGAACTTTAGCTCCTGAGTTGATCTTTTTCCCAGTAGCTGCAGTACTAAGCTCTCAATGCCTTAGCTTTCTTAACTGCAATAGTATTTGTCTCACGTCAGCCACCACCACCAATTACACCCTACCTGACCACTACCAGGGCCTATGCTGCTTTCAAAATTTCTCAAGCCTTGCAATCTCTTACCCCATCTTACCTGCTCAACTATTCCCACTGCAAAAACCCTTTGGTCTCACTGCTATCTTATCCACTGACCACTTTCTCACTATCCATGACCTCTTGTCTCTGCTCAGGCCCTCAAGCTTCTGAGTATGAACCATTATTTTGCAAACACTCTCAAGTATTTACCTCTCTAGTCCTTCTTTGTATCTGCATGGTGAAAATCCCAGCCCTAATTGACTCTAGTCATTTACTTTGTCTACTCCAGCAGCTGTCAGACAAGGGGAAAAACCCACACACAACTGTGCTGTTTACTTTTTCAATTCACACCCCAAATTCCCAAATAGCCTTTACTCCTGTCACTCCTACCTTTCTTTGCAGACTGACTTTTCATCTCAGAGTACTATTCACACCACTTCTTCTCTGTTCAACCATTACCCCTATCTTTAGCTGATAATCTCACTGCATTTTTCAAAATAAACCAGACAGTAACACCTCATTCTTCAGACAGCACATAATTAATCTATCTGCATGTATACTGTCAGGTCTCTCATTATGTGTACTAAATAGCCCTATCCCTTTCCAAAGCCAATGCCAATGCCTCTATGAGTTTACCTTCGAGGACAGCTGACTTCTTTGGTCATTCCCTTTTCCCTACATCACTGATGCATGACTTTCATAAGCCTATAAAGACACTCTAGAAATTCCCAACTTGTAAGAACCTCTTAACCCTAAAACTACTGAATTATTTTTAATGTTTCCCTTTCGAAGTAAAATTTCTGACACATTTGCTTACAAACGTGTCTCCCCATCCTCATCTCCTTCCTATTCATGCCATCACACTGAACAGCCAGTGAAGTATATACTGGCTGAGGTTGTACACAGAGATTTACCAATGAACCTTACATCCTACTTGATTTCTCTAAGTTTCTTCTATCTCCAGTCACCAAGGTCTCTCACTATTTGTACATTTTCTCTGTCTCCCATTTGCTCTGTAGCACCCTTTGACCATCGTGAAGTCCTTTTCTACTCCTCTTCACTCTGTAACATCATTCTTTTTTTGGTGGTGGTGGCTCTGAAGATTGAACACAGGGTCTTCTCACTGAGCTACATCCCAGAGCTTTTCACTTCTTTTTAAATTTTAAGACAGGGTATCACTAAGTTGCCAGGCAGGACTGGAACTTGTGATCCTCCTACCTCAGCCTCCCAAAGTGCAGAGAGTACAGGTGTGCCCACCAAGCCTAGCTTCACAGTATCAATCTATTTCCTCAAAAATACTTAGAGGTCTCTGCAATTGCTTTTTATTTACTTGCTTTGTCTGACTTCTTTTGCTCACCTGACTCCTACACTAGAATGTGGACTTCATGATCTTATGCGTCAGTGATATTCCAATGCCTCCACAGTGCCTACCTAACACATGTGGTGGTCAATACATGTGAAGTCACATGAATGAATGAGGCACAACTAGTACTAAATGGACTTAATAAGCTAACCACAGTAGCACATGCCTGTAATCCTAGCATTGGTGAGGCAGAGGTAGTAGGATTCCAAATTTGAGACCAGCCTGAGCTATTTTCCATGCCAGCCTGGACTATAGAACAAGACCCTGTGTCAAAAAAAAAAAGCTTAATGCTCTTGGGCCGGGGATTTAGCTCAGTGGTTCCAGCGCCTGCTTCACAAGAACAGGATCTGAGTTTGATCACCCATACCAACAAAAAACCAACCAACCAACCAACCAACCAAACAAACAAAAACCACCACAAAAAACAAACAAAAAAGCTTAATGCTCTTAACACAGCATTAATAGTTATCTACTCGAACTTCCCCTCCCTTGGGAGAGCTCTCTTGAATACAGGATTAGGCCTGATCCATCTGGCACATTAGCATAAAGCTTGTACAGAGTAGCTAGTTAATAAATAGTTGTTGCTAAATTAAAATCTGAAATACAGTGACTTACACTATTCCTGATTGAGGTATGAGAACTACAAAGATATCAATCTTTATTTTATGAAAACTGTTTATAAATACAATTTTGAGAAGAACTAGAAAATTCTCCATGTCCAAAAGCTTCCTGAGGCTGGGGATTTAGCTCAGTGGTTCTGCCACCTACCCTGCAAGCACAGGGACACGAGTGTACCCCCGAAAAAAAAAAAAAAAAAAAAAAAAAAAAAAAAAGGCTTCCTGTATCACAATTACAATAATGGCCTAAGAAAAATTTTTCTTCTTCTTTTGCTCAGCTCTTCTTTAACTTCCACTTTTCTTCCCATTTAGATTATGAAGTTAAAACACAAAATATCTTGCAGATACATCTCAATAAATTCACGTTAAAACCTTTTAAACTGGGCATACTGGTGTACTCCTGTAATCTCAGCACTTTGGGAAGCTAAGGCAAGAGGACTGTAAATTCAAGTTCAGCCCAGACAAGTTGGCAATTTAATGAGACTTCATTTTAAAATAAAAAGGTGGGGGGGAAATGTAGCTCAGCACAAAAGCCCTAGGTTCAACCCTCAATACCACCAAAAATCCCCACACCAAAATAAATTAATTTTAAAAAACCAACTAAATGTTTATCAGACATTCCTTACTTACTGATATCTCAGTTGTATATATGATGAAACATCACAAGTTCAGAGGAAGAGTTCTTTACAAATCTAAAAGAAAAAGACTTATGAATGCAGTGTAATGATTTCCTTCATTTATAATTAATGTGTATGTTTTATTCAGAATACCATGAATAACAGCAGATAATATAATATATAGTCCATATAAAAAAGAACTTGGCTTAGTGGTTCTGCCACCTGCCTCGCAAGCTTAAGCGCCTGAGTTCTATTCCTGGTACCGCCCCCCCAAAAAGAAACATACTTTTATGAAGCTTGGGCTCACACAAAACAAGGATAATGTAATAAAATACATAAAATAAATGATAAAGAACCAAGTTGATTATGATCAGGAGTTTGAATATGCAGTTTAAGAAATAAGATTTTTTCAAAATTCTCAGTAATAGAAACTCACAGAAAAAGTAGGGACTAAAATTATTAAGGCTTTGTAGGACCTGGGTAGGGAAAATACTCAAAATTGAGATAAGCAAAACATGGGATGCGGGCCCTACTGAATAGAGAGGCCACAGAAGGAATGGCCTTAGAATCCTAAGCCCTAGTTCAACAAAGAGAGAAAGATTTCAAGATTCATTAGCAAGTAGAAAGATGGTAATTCTTTTAGGAAAACGAAATAGTAACAGAAAGCAGGGAGATTTTTTTTTTAAAAGGGAGCATTTTAGCAGACTGCCTTCTGTCAACTTTGCTGGTTTCATTTTGGAATTAAGTTCCATTGGCCTCAAATATTCTTTATAATTCTACAATATCAATTCAAAGCTTTTTTTTTGGTACCGGGATTGAACTTGGGTCCTTGAGCTTGCAAGGCAGGCGGTGGAACCACTGAGCTAAATCCCCAGCACTACAATATCAATTCAGTAGTCATAATTTAAGTGACCAAGGATTGAAATTCTGTTTGATTGCTCCCTTTACCTTTTCTTTGACAATTCTTAAAAATTTCAGGTTATTTTTCCCTCAGAAAACCCTGTGCATGTGTCATTCCTTTTAGTCCTACTACCAGTACCTTACATTATATAAGGCCTTGTTCCCTTACATTTGGATGTCTTCATTTCTCTGCCTCCAGTTTTTCCTTCCTTCATCTCAATCTAAACATTCCTATCAAATTAATCTTCAAAAACAACCCTATACACATTACTTTTTGCTCAGAAAGCTTTGTAGGTCTCTTACTGCCTGAGGACAGAACAAAGACCAAAACAGCTCAATGACTTCAATGGCAATGGAGGGTGCCATGATGTCACTGGTCATCACCCTCTCTCAGAACTCAGCTCAAATTCCACCTCCTTACTAATTCTTCCAGCATTAATCTAGACCAGTGATGGTCAATCTTTTAGAGCTTTCAATGATACAAACAGCCCACTGAGGCCATGTTTGCCATCACTGGTCTAGACCAGACTAGTTTTGTCAACAGAAATATAATGCATGCCACATATAATTTTTAAATTTTCATAGCCACATTGAAAAGTAGGTAACATTTTAATATTTTATTTAATCTAAAGTGTGTAATCAATGTGTAATCCTCAAAAAACAGATATTTTACTTTGTTTTTTGTACTAAGTCTTCAAAATCCAGTGTGTTAACTTAGTATTCACATACATCTCCATTCAAACCACATTTCAAGTGCTCAATAGCCCAAATGGCTGGTGGTTGCTGTAACCGCACAGGTCTAAACCCCAAAAGCACCACTTTAGACTGGAGCATTGTGCTTGCCAAAAATAAAGCAAGTTGGCAACATCATCATTTTGTCTTTATGTCCATGACTCATATTGCATTTGTTGTTGTTTGCTTGCTTGAACCAAGGGGGTGCTGAATTACATCCCCAAGCCTTTTACTTTGAGATAGGGTCTCTACGCAGCCCAGGCTAGTCTTGATCTTGTGATCCTTCTGCTCAGCCTTCCCAAGGCCATAGCTGAGACTGCAGGCATAAGGCACCACACTCAGCCCCTAAAGTGGGTTTTAATGTTATCATCAACCAGAAAGTCATCCAGAGAGAAAACTAGTCATTCCCTTACCAACAAACTGGTGGCTACTAGTTGAATTCTATTTTGTATTTAGTCTTAACATTCTTCACTGGCCTACCTCAATGGAGGGGTTCATTGCCTTACCTGAATTTTTGCAAATTTCCTCTAGTTTTCCTGTTCCAAATTGATGCTATTAACACAGATATTAATAAGAACATCTTGAGAGACAAATGTTCTCATACTCCCATCTTTTCACAAAGTATCCACTGGCTTCCTATTAACTACCTTATAAAAACCTCAACTCCTTGGTTGGAAATCAAGATCATTCACAAACTGATCTCAGCCTACCTCTTGCACAGTGCCCAAAGCAACAGAAATATGTGCTGAAAGAGTGAACCCTCACTGTATCTTAAATCTTTGCAGGAGACAGATTCTGACCAATACATACTACTTCACAAGTAGTATGTATTGGTTACTTACTCTCTCAATAATGAGCATGCATGTTGATTACAAAGGGAAGTGTGCTAAATACAAAAGAAAAGGAGAGACTGGATTAGACCTAGAGCTCATAGATGGTCAAATCTCTTCCGGGTCGCTCTGGAAGAGCAGCACTTCGTAAAAGGATCAAAGGGGAGTAAAATTAAAGATTCGAAATGGGCGGGCGGCTCAGGTTCGCCGGTCAGACTGGCAGAAGTTAGGGCTAGTCTGACCTTCTGTTTTCTTAAGAGAATGTAAAATCGAACAAAGTCGAAAAGAATGAAGCTGTGGGAAACTGCAGTGGTAGTGGAAGCGCTCCAGAGCGAGGAAGACAACTCTATTACGGCGCGGGACTAGCAACTGAAGGGTCCTTGGAGTCCGTGAGCTAATCGGACGCCTACTCTGTGCCCAGTGCTTAGCAGTCTCGCGGTGGCTGAGCCCTAGACGGCCGAGAGCACCCCAGCCACTAGGCCAAGGACTATAGCCGGCGTCGGATGCGCCCCGCAAGCCCGAGGCTGAAAGGGCGAAGGGAAATCACGGAAAGGAGTGAACGGGAGCGAGCGCGGGAGTGAACCGTACGGACTGTCACAAACAACCCGGGAATATTCCACCCATGAAGTCACTTCTCTTTCACTCGCGAGGAACTTCCAGGACGGTGGCAACCGGAACCGCAGGAGCACTTCTCCGGGGAGACTGGGTCGGAGTCCGGCTCTCCCTGGGGCCGAGGACGCCCCCTCCCCCAGCCAAAGGCTCACCCCCTTCTCTCGTCCTCACTTGCCTCGTGAGGTTTCCCCCAACGCCGTCTACTGCCCTTCCCAACCCCCAGTTGAATCCAGGCTCAAGGAGGAGAAACGCTGATATCGTTCAGCAGCAGTGACCACAGGTATGAAAAAGCCCCTCAGTGGTGGCCGCCATTTTGAACCTGCAGGGTAGCGGCAGAGGCGGGGACGACCCGGACGATACCAACACGGGGAGGGTGCGGACAAGGCCGTAGAAAGACGATTGCGTTCACACCAATAAGACTTTTCACCTTGGACCGCAGTTGCCTTCAGAAATTATCGATAATTTTTGAAGTTTTTAAATGTAAAGAGTAAAAAATTTGAAGAAAGAAAGAAAAGGTATAAATTTCCGCCTCCATGCCCCCCCCAGGCGGGCGCTGCATTTGGCAGATCCCGAGGTCGCTGCATCCGCCAGTGAGGGTGGCTAAACTGGGAGCTGCCCTTGATCGTTGGGTTGTTGGTGGTACCCAGGCCGCAGGTGGGTCAGGGGACCTTGGGCCGCCGCGGCGGCTCTGATCGCGGTCGTGCCAGCGGGAAGGATTCTGGGAAAGCCTTCGGCGGTGCTGTGTGTGTGTGTGTGTGTGTGTGTGTGTGTGTGGTATTAAGGTCTAAGAATCCCAAGAGAAGGTGAGGGGGAAAGAAATAGGTTTGTCTTGGAGTGGACGACCGAGTTGGGTTTTCTGTCTGGAGGCTTTTGGGAAGGGTACTCCGAGGTCGTCATAATTGAAAAACGGCTTTACAGGTGAGCCGATGGCCGTCCTCAACCTACCAGCCTAGATCCCATGCCCAGCCAGAAGCAGGGGGGTGGGGGGGCTGTTTTACCAGAGCGTCCACATTTGTCCAAGTCTCAGCGATCTGTCTTCTGCTTGACCTGACACTAAAATATCAGATCCTCTATGAGTCGACCATTCCAAGAAGCATGCACTTGCCAGTTTGCTTTCTAAAAAAGTAATAAACTTGTGCTTGGTTTCCAGGGTGTATATAGCATTGAGACTGCAGGAGTAGATTCCTCCATGCATCCAGTACAGTTTTTCATAGGTTAATTGACACTTTTTTTTTTTTTTAAGCGATACTGGGACCGAACTCTGGCACTTGCTAGGCAAGTGCTGTACTACCGAGGTACACCTCAGCTCCTCTTTGGTTTGTCGTGTGTGGGTGTCGCGCTGCTAAGTTGCTGGCCTCAAACTTGGAATCTTCTGACCTAGCCCTCGCTCCAGAGTAGCCAGAATTACAGGTGCGGGCAGCCAAGTGCATACTTTTAAAGCAATACATATAAAGTGCTGCTGTGGAGAGCACTCAAACTAATTATCTGTACGTTTCCAACATGAATTCAGAGTGACTTACAAAAATATGTTCCAGATACATTTTTCTTTTTAGAAGTTAAAGGAAAGATAATTGGGTTAAAGAAAAAGTAATATTAGGCAAAAATTAAAGAAAATGAGGTTAACATAAATGCTTACCTCTATACTGGAGAAACAGTAAAGTGCAAGAAAAGAGCTTGAGTTAAGGAAGAAACTACCAGGGTACTGTATTAATCTTAACTCCACCACTTAACTACCACTGTTGTCACTGGTATATGTCCTAAGCCCTTGTGATCTCACTATGTAGCCCAGGCTGGCTTTGAATTCGCAGCAGCCCTCCTGCCTCAGCCTCCTGAGTGCTGGGATTACAGGCGTGTGCCACCATACCTGACCACTTAGTGCTATTGTGAGAATTAGACATGAATAGGTGATTATGAAAATTAAAAACTGCAGTGTTGCTAAGATTCAGGTCCTGCTAGAGGAGGACCCCAAAATTTGGATCATTTTAGTATTAAAAGATATATGACCAGGGGCTGGGGGTACAGTTCAGTGATATAATCTGTGCTTTTAGGAGGCACTGGGCTCAGTCACCAGCACACCTCCTTCCCTCTGTCTAAATAATAGAATTTAGAAAAAGATGACTGAGTAATGACTGCTAAAGTCCAAAAGATAAAACCCAATTCATGTTTCAGGAATACCATAGCTGCTCCTAGTTCTGAAGTTTTCTTACAGGTCCTCCTATAAAGACACTTGAAAATATGTACAGCACAGTCATGGCATACAGGGATGCCATTCCCTAAAGCAGCTGCCCCTTTTTAGCTCCTGCTAACAATCTACTCATCACAAACCTGGGCCTGCCTCATTGGATCATGCCGTAGTCTTGCTGTGGCCTATCAGATAAAGGTGTCTTAGGATCCCTGGCCATGACCAAGGGCCCATCCACACTATCCCTCCTGCCCACCCTACCCCTTCTATTTGCCTTTTTTTTTTTCCCTGCAGTACTAAGATTGATCTCGGCCTTCATTCATACTGAGCTATGTCCCCAGCCCTTTAAAAAAAATTATTTTGGACAGGTTCTGAGTCACTAAGTTGCCCAGACTGGGCTTGAATTTACCATCTCCCACCTTAGTCTCCCAGTCTAGTTCACTGTTTATGAAAATAAATCTTGTCCTTCCTGGAAAACATACAGGATAAATGATGTACAGTGGGCCACTTCCATAGTCCACTGGATATAGATTTTATCATTATAATATGAAATGCCTCTGGGACTAAGATTTGTCATTTACTTCAGAGATGTTCCTTCACGGTGACTGAGTTCAGTTCTGGATTGTGAGTGTACAGAATCCTTTCGTGTTTCAGACCAGGGTTTAATTCTGGAGTCTGTATAGAGTACATGCTGCAAGAACTGCAGGGGTTCATCTCATCTCTTCTGAGTAGAGCCAGACCAACCCAGTCCTTAGCTTCTGGCTCTGTTGAAAGAATGCCAGTAATGGTCACATCTTACAGATGGCCATGGACTCTTATTTTAAGAGTTTGGAGCTAGAAATCAGCAAAAACTTATTTGCTAGTTAGATACAAAATGATATATATAAAAGCTGTGCTGCTTAGGGTGGTATTGACACCTGTCAGGAGCTAATAAAGACAGGAAGCAGACTAGATAACTCTAACTGCTGAGTTTTTGAATTTGAACACATGCCACAGGAAAAGATACATTGTTTAATATTTTGCAGTTTGGTCATCTTAAAATTACAGTATCTTCTTAAAGCCCTCATTATTAGCTCCATATTTTACTGGCTCAAATTTATACAGCAAGTGAGCAGCAACTTTGGTGGGCACTTGGACAGAACCACAAAAATACTTTCAGATCTCAATATTATGTTCTTTAACTGGAGGCGCAGTGCTAAGAGAACCATCATCTTCGAGGAAATGAAGGAAGGTTGATTGCCCTTAGGATTTCACCCGCAAGAAACATTTGCATCAAAATCAGCTGGGGAATTCTTTCAACTGTTGATTTGTCCGGTGGGGCCTCACCTGGGAAGTAAGGCCAAGAGCCCTTATTTTGAGAGGGCTCCCTGTGTCATGGTGATGTTATCAAGGTTCAGAACTCTAGCTGCAGACAGCAGACTAAAATTTAAAACTTTTGAATTGTACATTGAAATGTCTCATCATGTACTCAGATCATAGTTTTCTAGATCAGTGGCATAGACTAGAACCTGCTATATGTAGTATTACATGTTATTTATGAAACAGTGTGTAGAACTTGTGCAACTTGTAGCATCACAGACAGTGACTGGATAATAGGTATTTAATGAAAGCTTGAGACATAGAATTGTGTAAGTATGTGGACTAGGTCAGAAGGAAATGTGTGAATTTAGTCTACATTCCTATATTCCCAGCTTAGATTAGTGCTAAGCACTTTAGTTGGCAATAAGGTACTGCTTCTACTAGGATGTTGTCATATGTCTTCTCAGCCATGGTGTGTGATGTATTCACATGTACATGAATGTCTGTGTTTTTTCACTTTTATTACTGTATGTCTGCAGTACATAATGATTACATTCACGGTAGGGATTGGTACATGTACATAACACATTTCAATTCCCTTCTTTCTCCCTTCTCCATCCCCCCTTTTATTTGCCCACCATCAGATTCATTTAAGAACTTATAAAGTGAATTATCACATATGTAGATTGAAAACCAGACTAATAGGCCAAAGAACATATAAAACACGGGAGACGAAAAAAAAAATGAGACAATTGTACTAGTCAAAGTTATACCTTGAGATACATTGTCCACACTTAATTACATACCATACCTTTTTTTCTTGTCTTTTTTTTTCTTTCAAGTGTGTTTTCATTTCATCTCTATGTACAAACTGATGGTGGTTTAAATATGCTTTTATTGAATTGGTGTGCGTTTGTTCTTTTTCACATCATGACTACCAGTTCTCTTTTGACTTGAAAACTTAGAAATGTTAAAGCTCTTATGTACCAAAAATATAAATTCATGGAGGGGCTCTTAAAAGAGGCACTGTGAAATGATAAGAGGCAGATAGTTGGAGTGTACCTGAATTTTAATTCCAGGCCTCCATTAAATAGCCATTTGAGTTAAGCTGTTTCCTTATTTGTAAAAAAAGTTTAATAATAGTTATTTCATGCTATATGTTGAAATATATGATAGCCTTAGTAGTCATCTGTAAAAGTAAGCTCCCTTTATCTTTCATGGGGTCATTTAACTGAGTTTCAAGTCTATTGTGACATTGACTGTTTTACACATGTAAATGTTCTAAATCAATATTAGGACCATGAAATAATCTTTTTATACGTAGTTTTTTGTTTTGTTTTTTTTTAATAGGGTCTTGCTTTGTAGTTCAGGCTATCCTTGAACTGACTTGGACCCTAGGCCAGCCCGATTTAGCCTCCCAACTGCCAGGATTACAGGCTTGCACCACCAAACCCAGCCCAATTTTATTTTAAGGAGCCAAAATCGGAAATGTTGTAGAGTTGAACTTTGTTAACAATTTTATCACACCTGCTTACAGGCACACAGTTCTAGATCCTAAACCCCAACAGATGTGTTGATGTTATTTATATCTTTTGGAAATACAGACATATAGCAGCTATCCCAGCATATGTTGCATCAAAGAATGTTGAGGACCTGGTGTGTCAGGTTTTGTTGCAAGTAGAATTCTTTTAAACTCTGTCCCTCAGACCTATATCAAGTCTCTGGTGAAGTAAAAAATAAAACTTAATAAATAGGTTTTATTGCAGTGTAGTTTTCTTTTTTCTTTTTTGTATTTTTAAAATTTTCTTTGAAGTATAATTTTAAATTATCCATTGTCACCTAATGTTCATCAAGCAGATTTTAATTACTGTATTGTATTCCTTTTTTAAATGCTATTGTACATTCTTATGCCAAGCTGATTTTGAGGCAAGTTTTGATTTTAAGATGTTTCACATCCACAGCCCTCTTTCCATTTCAGATGCAATTTAGAAGATATTTTGTAGGCAATTATATGTATATTTCTGATTTATAAATAAATCTTTGTGTTTTGTTTTTAGCAATCATGGTGAACTTAGTTCAGATTGTGCATGACCACTGGGTACATGTACTTGTCCCCATGGGATTTATCTTTGGATGGTACCTGGACAGAAGGAATGATGAAAAGCTAACTGCCTTCCGCAACAAGAGTATGCTATTTAAAAGGTTAGTTCACACATCGTTTCTTTAAAACCAGCTATTGCCCAACTTGAATATTCTTCTTAATACTGTATACACCAAAGATAAACGGGGTAATTTTTCTCCCTGATACTACTGATACTATTTTTTAGGCTTGTTTGCTATTCACTCCTTTGATAAAATTATATGATTACCTTTGGATGCAAATAGTCTTTGCTATTGTTGCAGAACTTTGAAAGTCTCTCATTTTTTGAAATTCAGAGTACATTTTAGTGTGGGAACAAAGTTTTTTTTGGTACTGGGAATCGAACTCAGGACCTTGTCCTTGAGAGGCAGGTGGTGGCACCATGAGCTAAATCCCTGGCTCTGGAAATAAAGTTTTAAACCATTTAATCAAATCTTATCCTGTATAAGCTTTCATACATATTATCATATAATATCTTACTTCATCCATGATGCAACTTAAATAAATATAGGAAAAGTGATCTAGAGCTGTGTTTTCAGCAGCAGTATCTCAGAGCTTTGAACATGGTGCTTCAGTGATTGCAACTGGCAGCTGCCTGTTTCCATTGTATCTTTCGAGATGCTTCCTCTGGCAACAGAGGGATATGGTTAGCACAGAGAGTATGTGCCAATGGGTGTACTTCTGTCTGGATTGGAAGAAGTTCAAGGTACAAGAGGGCTGTAATCCCAGCACTGGGGAGGCTGAGGCAGGAGGATTGCCACAAATTCAAGGCCAGCTTGGGCTACATAGTTGAAGACCAAGCTGAACTATATAGCAAGATCCTGTCTCAAAAAATCAGAAACAAAGACAAAAAGGAAAAAAGAGGAGCAAGTAGCTTCCACAGGACTTACAGAGGTAGTTTACCAGTCAAGGATTTAAAAAGGACACAGTGAGGTAAAAAAGGATATAGAAAACATGAATAAACTCATTGAAAGAATAATAGCTGTTATATGTACTAAGAAATTATAGGGCTTTAATCTGGAAGACTGAAGCTATGGTAAGAGTTTAAGGTCAAGAGACTATGATGAATCTAATATAAAAATTATAATGGATCATATTAATAAACTATAAAATATTCTTTTGACCACCTCATAGAAGTTTTATTTACAGTTTTTCCTTTCCTTCTTTCTTTCTTTCTGCATAGGGAATTGAGGCCCAATGAAGAAGTTACCTGGAAGTAGACTGTGGCTAAATTACAGAATATTCATATTTTAAAAGCTATGGGAGAAATAAAAATGTTTGTTATTTAATTATAAGAATTTGAAATGTGATTCTTTTCATACTGTTTTTGTTATTTGTCTTTTTTTTGGTACCTGGGATTGTACTTGAGTCCTTGCGCTTGCAAGGCAGGCCACCGAACCGCTGAGCTAAATCCCCGGCCCCTGTTATTTGTTTTTGATGGTGAGGGAACAAGGTCTCTCTCTATGTGGTCTAGGATAGCCTTCAACTTGCTGTGTATGTATATGTCCTTGGCTGTCCTTGAACTCAGGATCCTCTTACCTCAGCCTCCTGAGTACTGGGATTACAGGTATGTGCATCCCTTCTGGCATCTTTTATATTTCTTACTGAGATGATCTTTTACATACTTTTTAATACTTTCATTGAGTTAGTCTTCAAGTTTTTGTTTTAGCAAAACATTTATTGGTACATTTTAGATAGGGAATTTGGACCTGTACATGATATATCCTGCATCTTGTTTTCAAGTTTTAGACAAGATTGGGCACGTTCAGGGTGGTATGGCCATACAAAAAACAGTAAATTTTGTTTGTTTGTTTTGTTTTGTTTTTTGGTACTGGGGATCGAACTCGGGACCTTGCGCTTGCAAGGCAGGCGGAACCACTGAGCTAAATCCCTGGCCCTTTTTTCAAGTTTTAAATACACTTGGTTTATAAAATAATTTTTGAGTGTCTGTATTCAAAGATGTTAAATTTGTAATTAGTATTTTTTGTTTGTTTGTTTCTCACTTTGGACCACAATACTATTAAATCATATATCCAATTTTTCCCTCAAGTATTTTTCAGAAAAAAATTGTTTAAAATTGTGTGTGCTATGGTGGTTCCAGTGAGTTCCCCAAGAGTTCTTATGTGAAAAGGTTCTCCCCACTGTGACATATTAAGATGGTAGGTATAATCCAACAATGGCAGATAAGAATTTGAGACTTCTGAGAGATGATTAGGGTTAGGTAAGGTCATCAGGGTTGAATCCCAATGATTGAATTATTGGTGGCCTTGTAAGAAGAGAGGCCAGCAAATGACACACAGTCAGGTACTCTGCCTGTCTCTTACCATGTGATGGTCTAAACCACCTCAGGACTTTGCCAAGGAGCAAACTATCACCAGGTGTGGCCCTTGACCTTGGAACTCCAGAACTGTGAGCTGAAATAAACCCGTTTTCTTTATAAACTTACCTAGTGTTGGATACTTTGTTACAGTAATACAAAGTGGACAAAGATAGTATGCTATAAGGGAACTTTAACAGGATGATGTAAAGATTTTATTTGGCAAAAATCATATAGCTGAAAGTTTTACTAACTTTGGGTTTGTCAAAGATTTCTTAAATTCAATATAAAGTATAAATTGTTTTTAAAAATTAGTAAATTGTAGTTTATTAAATTTAAAGCTTTTACTCTTCAAAAAAATAAGTATCTCTGCAATCTTACTTGACAAAATTTTAAGAAAGTAGATTAAAGAATGAGTTGTCCAAGATGATAGATTAGTGTATCTATTTGTATTTGGACTTAGTAGCATCTTTCTCCTCCTGAATTAGTGTGATACTCTTTTGTCTTACTGCTCTATACCAGTCCTTGATAAAATGACCAAGACTCCTGTGATCCTCAAAAGGCGACACAGTTTAGCAGCATATAAAGTAACAAAGTGACTGTTGTGTATTAGGTACTATAGTATGGATAAGCACCGGGTATAGTGGTAGCACAAGGTTTCCAGGTCAAGGGAAGAAGTTGGTTTGACTGAAGCAGAAGGAATTCTGGGAGTTAAAGTGGGGGAGGGATTGGCTCAGATCATATGAAGCTTTTAAAGGTGGCCACAGAAAGGTTATGGTAAGCCACTGAAACATTTGAAAGGAAATAAGATTAGATAACTATGTAAGAATCCTTCTGGATATAAATTCTTTGAAGGTGGTACTAGTTGTCTTTTTCAGGCCCATTACTCGATACACAGTAATACTTCGTTTGTTCAATAAAAGGAAAACCGAGTGAGATTTGTGTTTTTGGAAGCAAGATCACTGACAACACTATGAATTAGACATACTGAGACTGGAATCAGAACACCAGTCAGAGTTCTATAGACCTTAAAACCAAGAAGGCTTGAACCAAGCAATAGCAATGGAGAGACAATCAGGTATGGATGTGTAACATGTGCAGAGTAATCAGAGTAAGGGGTGAGGTAGAAGTGTTATGCAAATGGAATTGTGAATGATTCCCAGATATTCAGTGCTATGGTCTGAAGGTTTTGAAATTTAACCCCCAATGTGTTAATATTAAGCGGTGGAGCCTTTGGGCAGTTACTAGCTCATGAGGGCAGAAGTCTTAAGAAGGGCATTAGGTCCTTTAGATAAGAGGCCCCTACACAACTTGTTCCTTTTGCCTTTCTACCATGTGAGGACGACACAGGAAAGGCACAACAAATGAGGAACAGGCCCTCACCAGAAACCAAATTGAATGATGCCTTAATCTGAGACTCCTCAGCCTCCAAAACTGTGAGCAATAAATTTCTATTGACAAGTCACCCAGAAGGAGGTATTTCGTTAGATTTAAAGTACTAAGACAGCTGGCTTAATTCAGTGCAAAGACATCAACTATACCTTTAAAACATACTAGAAAACAGTTTGCAAATTTTTTTCCACTTCTTGAAACTATAATTTATTTCCTTGGTTAAGCCACAATTCCTTAGGAACAAGGATATTTCCCCAATATAGAATTATAGGCTGCAGACAGAAATGTTCAATAAAGGGTAACCAGATCCTCCCCTTGAGCATGTGCGCCTCACTGCAGCCTCCATTCCCTTACCTCTCTCTGCTCCTTCTAGTCCTCTTTGCACTCACCAAAACAGTCTCCATAGGAACAGAATTTAGTGGTCTCTTATAAGTCCTTGTGTTACTTGACATCTTGGCAGAAAGTGATACTGGCTGGTCCCTGAAGCATTCTCTTCTCAGGGTTTCCATTGTATTACATCCTCCTGCTTCAACCCCTTCCTTCTTGACTATTTCTCAACTCTCAGTACTCAACTGGCTTTTCAATCTCAAGTTTTCTCTAAGATGATTTTATGCACTCTTAGGATTTCAGTTACCTTTTTTTTTATACTAATAGATTCCCGTCCTATAGCTCAAACCAACTTCCTGAACTCTAGGCCTGACATCTACCTATTACTCAACATTTGAAGGTCTCATAGATATTTAAATTTATTTTCTTCAAAACAAAAACCACTGATGCTTTCTCTTCCCAAAACCTTGCTCCTCCTCCTCTAGTGTTTTTTTTTAATTGAATTTATTGGTACATTCTAGGTAGACAGTACAGTTACATTCATTAATGGGATCTTGTACCTTTACATGCCAGGTCTTGGTTTCATTTTTTCCCATTGTCCCCACCCTCCCTTCACCCCCTC